TTTTTTTTTTTTTTTTTTTTTTTTTTTTTTTTTTTTTTTTTAGATGGAATATTTAAATTTTTTTTTCTTTTTTTATTATATTCATACACATGAATATAAAAATTATTTTCTATTTATTAGATGTAGTACGTTCCTAGTGTATTTCCTGTTTTCAATACTGCTTATCCCTATCATTCGCTCTAACCACTTATGGTTTCCGCGATGAAATTGTTAACTTGTCTGTCATATTATTATAAAATCGCTCTCGAAAATAAGGGGACATTTATATCATGTTCAATACAATTTGACCAACACTATTACATTTCATATGATAGAATTTCTATGCTTTTTCCTGTCATCGATGTTGTTGAAAACAATCAAGCTCGTTTTCTTGATACATTTAAAGATATCGAAATATTAAATATAATTACCCAATACATATTAAACGATTTTTTAAAAAATTTATAAAATAATATTCTTATTATCATACAAAATGCCATAAAAACATTAAATTAGTATTAAATCAAACATCTTTTTGATAAAATTCAATCAATATGTTTATAAACATATCTATGTACTATGTAATAAAAGATGATATAATAATCAATATAAAGATAACTATATTTAATTGATAAAATAATAAAATAAAAAAAGAATCACTATCGGATGAATTAATATCTTAATTTATTTTAATTGAGAACATTGATCATTGCAGAACATATTTTTGTTCTTTTTTTATTTAATTTATTTTTTGTTATATATAATTTAAAATAGTATTCGCTTTTGTTATTAGTAAAATTATATAAATTATAAACTATTACACACAATTCCTCACCCAATGACATTTTTATCTCAATGATAAATAGTTACGATATTTCTTTTAACGTGTTCTAAAAACTGCATAATAAATTCATTTCTGGTATATTAATGATATATATATTTTTTGTGAATAAGTGAATAAATATATATTGTTCAAACAAAATTATTATAAATATCTTAGATAAAATATCATATAACGAGACATATGATTAACATTTATAAAATAAGATGCGTTTTGTGACTCGTTTTTATGGATTATTATTTACAGTGCAAAACATATTATATTTCCTTTTCAACAAGAAGTGTAATTTTCATGATGGATTATATTTCAAAGCATTCTCGTTAAATATCTACGATTATTGTTTAATGAAAAATATAATTCTACAATTAAAAAAATCTCTGATGCACCTGTAATCGCAAATAAGATAAGACTGTTGCATTTTTATATGTAAATATTTTTTTTCGCTTCTTATGAAAATATGCGTATCAGTTAAATACTGTTTCTTCAACTTTCTTGAAGAAAGCTTTTTTACAATTAATTTATTTCAATAATTTTATTAAGAAATATATAATAAAATAATATAATAAATAATATAATAAAAATATAATAAATATAATAAATGTTAATAAAATAATATAATAAATTAAATAGAATAAAAACTAAATTGATGATTTTTTTTCAACATATTAATTCAACATATTTATGATTAAATGATGAAAGAAAGTATATATTAATTATAAAATTATTTTACATATTTTAGAGAATTGAAAATTGGATTATAAAAATCCAATTTGGATCATTATAAATCCTATGCTTGTGCAACTAGTTAGAATAGAATGTTAGCTGCTAGATTTACATGAGACCGTTGAAACTATCTCGAAGAAATCTACTTTAGAAAGTACGCTGACTCGTTTTTTTCATTCAGTTCCTTTGTTCATGTTGTCTGATTGCTACTCATGAACTCGTTTCTTCTTATACTTTTGTTCCTGGTCGTTCATAGCCTAGGAAGCAGCCGAAAAAGAACAAATGATTTTACGAAAATCATATATATTAATTAAGAATGTCGTTGATTTAGAAATAGCTCATTTATTCACGAATGAACGCGCATGGTTTATCAATTTTCTCTCAATAGTTATATAATATTGCTTTTTAAGAAGAAAATAATTTGACATCAAATTAAAGTATTGTCTGTTTTTTTTTAAATGAATTAATGAATAATGAAATTTCAGATATAATATAATTGGTAATATGGAATATATAATGACAGTTTTATCGATATAAATGTTTGACGTTTTAGGTATATCGATTGTATCGCGTAATGCGGTAAATATTCTCACTATAAAGTCGAGTTTAGCACTCAAGCAACAGGTGTTCTTTTCACGTGGAATTCTGTTTCACTTTGAATCAATTTATGATGATAAAAAAAGTTTACCGTTAAAAATTCATCATTTCCATTTTCTTTTCAATCAGTTTATTACTATTTGAATGATAATTCGATAGATATCTTTACTGCATATATCAAAATGTAGAAATTGCGACGTGCTTTATTCTCAATATTAATTATTTCAACCTTCAATTTAATGATATATTACATTTTCGAATATATAAAAAAAATGGTCTTTTTGATAATAGTAGTTTTTTTTGTAATGTGAAAAAGGTAATAATTATTTTATCTTTTCGTGATTACAATGATTTTCAAAATATATATATATATGTTATTTATAAAGCGAAATATTAACAATTTTAAAATATTTTCAAAAAATTATTACTATTCTGCCGTTATTAAACAAATTATTCATATCATGCAAAAATTTTTTGTTTAGTTTGAAAATTTTGCATTCTTTTCATTTTTATTTACAGATGTCCCATAACCATATGGCGCATATGATGAATGCAACGAATGGGCATTCAGCACATGGTATTCACGCATCTCATCAAGCTATAGATCATTTAAATATGCATGGAAATATGCATAATTCTATGGACCATGCTAATATGGATCATGGAAGTCATCTTACTTCTGATACGAACTCATGTGCCAGTATGGGAATGCACGGTATGTCAACGGTACGTATCATCAAAGTTAAAATTCTGAAGTTGATTATGATACAATAATTATGTTTATAGATGTGGTTCCATGGAGGATACTGTGAACACGTATTATTCGAATCGTGGAAAATCACATCAATCAGTGGCCTTATAGGATCTATGGTCGGTATTATGATCATGGCTGCACTTTACGAAGGTTTGAAATATTACCGAGAATATTTGTTTTGGAAAATGTATAATTCTCTTCAATATAGAAGTGTCACGATGCCCCAAGAAAAAAATGTCGTAGCCGAGGATAACAGGGTTGTTCAGTAAGTATGATGTATTACTTTTAATTATAATTAAACATTTTTGAAAATTTATAATTATAATAAATGATAATTCAATGCTTTATATTTGAATATACAAGGAGTTATTCTATTTGATTTTATTTTTTTAGTATGGTTGGAGAAGTAATACACAAACAACCGTAAGTAAATGAGGAATGAATTTTTTTTGGTTTTGAGGTTGCTTCTTTGTGAAAGTGCATTTTGTTTTTTCTAGTTTTTTGTACAGAGGGATATATGAATTAAAAAAGTTATAATTTTTCTTCTAATATTGACTTATGATTTCATTTCAACTATATGTTAAATATTTAGCATGATAAATTAATAATATTATACATATTTTTTTGATATTTAAAAATTAATCCATTTCATATAAATTTGTGCAGGCCCACAATGTTATCATGGATGCACACGTTTCAAACGTGCTTACACATTGTGCAAATCGTGCTGTCATATTTCCTTATGCTGATCTTCATGACTTACAATGTCTGGTTATGTTTTGCTGTAGTACTTGGTGCAGCAATTGGTTACTTTTTATTTGGGTGGAAAAAATCTGTTATCGTGGATGTTACAGAACATTGTCATTAGTTATTTATGTATTTAAAATACATTGTGTTTTTACAACAAAAATGTACATCAATGTACATTACTGAAAAGTTCATTCTAATTGAAAGAACTTCGAAATAATTACATGTAGTATATGTGTGCAGGAAATATAATTATTCTAAATTCGTATTTACAGAAATATATAAAGAAAATTGTCTCAATTTAAATTTATTCTTATGCATAATTATTTTATGCATACAGAATGCAATTTTTAGTTACTCATTAAAAAAGATAAAATGGCTAAATTATTATTGCATAAAAAATATCTATAAAATGCAAATTTGTATACAAAATATCTATAAAATGCAAATACTGGAAGATTAAATCTTTGATCTAGATAGCTATAGCGCACTTAATTTGTAAATATTGTTAAAAAGTTTAAATGAAAAGTATCATAAGATATGTGCACACTTTTTTCCAAACTTTTATATGATAACCTTTAATTTTTTATTATAATATATTTTATAAATATCTTCTCCTTGATTAACCTTTTAATGTTTGAAAAAAAGTGTGCTGTGATGTCTTGAATATTGCATACATAATGTATTGTTATTATATAACGTTATCAACGATTGTATTATTTAAAATTAATCTATAAACTACTGTTATTTGTAAAATATAAGAAATTATCACATAAAATATAAAAAAAAAAAAACATTTCCAGTATATTTTATCACTTTTAAACAAGCACGAAATTTTTTTCTAAAAGATCGATTTTTGAGATTATAAAATTTATAAAATATAGATATAAATTAAGATCTACAATAAAAATACATGATAAAACTATTAACTGCCACTTAGTAAATATAAAATAAATATAATATATAAATAATATTGTACAATACATGCAATATATATTGTACAGATATTTTTATAAAATTATTGATGAATATAGTATTGATGATCTAAAATGTATTCCATTAATAGAACTGATCTTGAATATTACAAATTGATGAAATATCATTTTGATATGGTTAAATTTTATATATAGTGTGCACTTGAACCAACAGATTATTGAATAAGAAATCAGAAATTTATATATCCCACAGCTATACAAAAAGCACCAGCATGCATGTCACATTTATAATTAATGCAAGCCTTTTTATTAAAAATAATCCTTAAAAATTATGATGTTATATATTATTTATTTTGTGTATGTAAAGCATCACTAAAGTATTAGGTAGCTTTTAAATAAGTTACAGTGCTTTAGAAATGCGTTCATACCTTTTATACGTACAAGGTTGTACAAAAAGCTTTATTTGATGTGTCTATAATACTATTCATTTTGTAGGAAAATCTTTAAACATCGACTGCAGAGCATTCCAAGAGCAGCAGAGTATGTTTTATAATATAGATATTTCAAAATCATATATATAAAGATGATTCAGAAGATTTTGTCATAAATATATATTACTACCACTGCTCTTAGTTTGTGCTGCAAAGATAAGGCAAATTTAGATTACAAAGCTAAATTACATTTTATATCTATTCCTTATTTATAAAGCAGTTGATGATCGTGATTATTACTATTATTATTTTATCACAAGCCAATGGTGTACGAAATACTTAAAATACTGTTTGTAGCTCGCGAACTGCACAAAGCGTGATACGAGTAGGACGTTCAATTTGACCTTACAGTTTACAGTTGTATTCTGGAAATATTAACCATAAAATATTACTTTTTTCCGCGTAAATATAGTTTTAATTTGCATATTTTAACGAAACTGAAAAATATTTGTAAAAACAAATAAAATCGTATGAATTTAATTTATAAAAATATAAATATGTTCATTGGCAACAGAAGAAACACATAATGAGCAACAAATAAAAAAATACTTTTATCGTTAAAATTCACCTTATTACGAGGAAAGTATTGCAGATGGGCAAGAAATCTCTTCAAATAATTTTGTTAGACCTAGAAGAAAAAGTATGTTACCAGCAAAATTGGTACTGTAATGATATTAAATAGTTTCATCTTCATTGTCAATTCATGATCATATAATCATGTATTTGAATATTCCAAATATTTTGTAATTATGTTGCCAATGGTCTTGATTTAATTTTAAAGGATTAAGTTCAAATTATTTAAACAGAAATAAGTATTATTTAGGTCAATGAAAACAATAAAATTCATATATAATGTAATGTCCTTATATATCCTAAATACAGTAATCATTGTTTATAAGTGTTGGTACATTTCGCATATAGTATACTCCTTCCACATATAAACAAATTTTATATGTTTATTCCAGAACCTCCATTTATGCACCACAAAAATTATTCATTTCAATTAGATTATGATTGTGAATCTTCAGAAATGTTTCATGCATTATGTTATGAAAACATAAAAAATATTTAAAATCTTATATCTGTAACCTACTCAGCACCAGACACAGGCATACAACAACTTGAACGATGAGGAGATTGTTGTTTGGAAAGATCAACAGTATCTTCTACTAATGGTCTTTCTAATCTAGCTTCAAGTTGTGCCCAAGCAGCAACAGCTGCACCAAATGCTGCTTCAACATTGGTTGCATCTTTTGCAGATGTTTCTACTAGAGGAGGATCTCCATTTTCTGCACACCAAGCTTGAGCTTCTTCTGTGGAAACTTGTTTCTCAGAATCTGGAACATCCACCTATAAAAATTATTTTCATAAATATTATTAGTATTATTTTTTTCTTCCTTTATCAGAATTCCTGCTTACTTTATTTCCAACAACTATAAATGGAAATGTTGATCCTTCTTGAACATCAGCATAATAAAGAAATTCAGATCTCCAAAGTGCTAAATTTTTAAAGCTTGTTCTATCATCCACAGCATAAGTTAAAAGGCAAATATCAGAGCCTCTATAAAATGGAGTTCTAAGAGTCTTAAATCTTTCTTGTCCAGCTGTATCCCATATTTGCAATGTATATGCTTCTCCATTAATTTCAATATCCTTGTTTAGAAATTCTACTCCAATTGTATGAAAACTATGTTCATCAAAGTGATTTGATACAAATCTATTCATAAGACAGGATTTTCCAACACCACCATCACCCAAAATTACCACTTTTAAAAGTGTGGATCTTTGGGAATTACGATTTTGTAGATTACCACCTCTAAGTGTACCTACTATAGCTGAATTGTTTCCTGACATCTTTTATTTTTTTTTTTTTTTATTATTTTAAAATAACAAAGAAACTATATATTGAAAAATATGATATATATTTATATTCTTCATATATATAATTATTTTCAATACCAAATATATAAATTCTTCATTCGTAAAACATCGAATGTATTGGAGATCTTTTGTCAATGTAGTAATCAGCTGATTCTGATATTAAATAAGACAATCCACTTTTTTTATATTATATACATTTTAAGCCAACAGCATATGCTCACTCGGGGTTTATAACTTTATATAATTCACACAATAAACAATTATATTATTTAAAACGCTTTAGTATTGTAATTTTCGTTTCGCGATAAAGCATAACCTTTTCATTTTATAGTGATGTTAATAGAACTTTAATATCAATTTAAATAGGATTCATATTATTTTAACGAATGAAATTGTAATTTTCAATTTCACAAGAGCCATGTACCTTATCTTCTTTGATGTTAACTTAATTATTCGAGCAAAGTCGCAATACCTTGAAAAGATGCCTTTTGGTACTGACTCATAGCCATCACCGAATAAAATTGCAATTTTCTCAAATAAATATATATCTTATGTTCACTCCAAAACATTTGGCAATAATAAAAATCATGAACAATTTTCAATGTTGAAGAGCTAAAAAGTATTATTGCTTCTGAACATTTTTCTTGCGCGCAAAGTATTTGACACTTTGCAGACGACAAAAGAAACGCCCATGTTGGATATTAAACATATAGGATGAATATGGCTACCAGAAATTATAAATAATGTTAATCCTATGCATATACTTATATATCACGATATTATACTTATATATCAACTAACAATAAATTATATAAGAACTAATAATAAATAAAATAATAATAGTTGCATGTGTATTATTATAATTTATGCCAAGAATTAATATATATAATCTTGATTCTATTAATATATGTGTGATGATTAAAATGTTTTAAAACTACTAGTATATCACAATTAAATATTTTCTTTTTTTAACTAAACACTAATTAAATTAAAACTATTTCAATTTTAATTTAATAAACTAAATAATATTGTAATATTATTCAATATAATAATATCGACAAATGTTACTAAAATAAAAAAAAATAAAATTCATAGATTATTATATAAAAATTATTGTATATTGTAATTATAAAAATCTTATAATTGATATAAAAATATATATATAATTTTTCCATTTTTAGATATTATAATTTAAATTATGTTTATCATATGACCAATAGGTGGTACTACAGTGCTTGAAAAATGCTTTCTTATGCATAGATGTCGTTTTACAAGAAATGTTGGTGTTTTAATAGAAGTTGAAATTTTACGTAAAAGTTAAAAAAAAGTGAAAGAAAGTATAAAAAAAAGTATTATTTTCATATTTTTTCGGTAATTTTTATAATTATATAAATAAACATTAAAATTTTATTACATTGAACAAGTTTGAACAAAGTTTGAAATTGTAAAAACATTTTTACTTAGTTTTAAACATATATTATACATCGTCTTTCATAAATTTTTTTATACTTTTTATTCATTTAATATAATATTTCAGATGATATAATATTTGTGGAAAATGGCAAATCCTCCTCCAAATGTTGGCCAATCTTATTTTTGGGGTTCAGGAGTTTCTCAACCACAAAATATGGGATATTATTCTGTACCACCCCCAAATTTTCCACCTCCAAACTTCAGACAACCACCACCTTCTTATAACATGCCAGTTTCTACATTGTCTGAAAATAAAACTGGAAATTATGCTTCTTCGTATCATTCCATGGGAACATGCTATCAAAATGAAATTTCAAATGCTTATCATGATGTTTCTTATCAAACTCAAACAGAATTGCAATGTAACAATCAAAATTATAATTTATCTAACTATTCTCAATCAATAAGTGGAAATTTTAATACAAATTGGGATGAAAGGAATATATATCATAATAATGATAATACACAATGGAAATCAAATAATTATTCTTCAGATTGGAATAAATCACAAAATACAAAGGAATCTTGGTATGAAACAAATAAAATAGAAGATGATAGAAAATGTATGTATGCAAAGTTTAATAGTTCCCCCAAAAATAGAAGATTTGAATGGAGATATAGAGAAAAAGAAGTTTCTAATAATTATTCAATTAATAAAAGACGTTCTAGAAGTCCTGAAAATAGATCAAGAGAAAGTAGATCAAGTAGATCACCATATAGATCAAGACATGATTATCAAAGAGATAAATATTCAAAATATGTTAAAAATAGATCGATTTCTAGAGAACGTTTACATTATGAAGAAGATTCTGATAGAAGATCATCATATAGAAGAAATAATTCATATGTATCACACTCTCAAAGATCTTATACAAATTATAGAAGTAGGAAAAGATCAAGATCTCAAGAATCTTATTCATCTAGAACTATTAGTCCTAATAATAATCCTGTCATTAATAGGGATAGAACTGAAAGAGAATTACTTCTAGAAAAATATAGGTAATATATATTTTTTAAATTTATGTATATATATAAATATTTAGATTCAATTCTTTTTATTTTACATTTCAAGACAAGATTATTGTGCAACAAGCAAAGATATGGAAAGAAAAATGGATGAATTATCTGCAATGGGACCTGAAGGCATCATGGAAAATGCTAGAAAAGTATGGACACGTACTGCACCAGCAGATTTGTATTATACTAGAGATGAAAATAATCCAAAAATAATGAGAGGTACACAGAAATTACATGAGTTATGTGAATTATTTAAAAAAATATTATTAGATAGAGCTGCAGCTGCAAGAGCTTTACAGGTATATTTCTCTTAATATGATAAAAAAAATTTGTGTACATATTTAAAAATATTTTCATTTTTTTGTTATGTAGCCTCCTTATGAACCACCACCAAGAAAAACTAGAGCTCGTTTATGCAAACATAAATCTGAAGCTTGTAGTAGTTCTTCTTCTGATAGTGATAGTTCAATGGATGAAGATGATAGAACAATGGAAGAATTAATGGCAAAAAAACAACATCCACAAAGATTACATCCTGAAATGTGGTTTAATGATCCTGGAGAAGTAAGTATTTATCCTAAATAATTTGATAATATTATAAGCTAAATTAAAATAAAATATTCATTATTATAGATGAATGATGGACCATTGTGTAGGTGTAGTGCAAAATCAAGAAGATCTGGTATTAGGCATGGAATTTATGCTGGAGAAGGTGCAATAAATAAATGCGATTTAAATTCCAATAATGCTGATAAATTATATCATTATCGAATAACAATTAGTCCTCCAACAAATTTTCTTACCAAAACACCGACAATTATTAAGCACGATGAACATGAATTTATATTTGAAGGATTTTCGATGCTTTCACATTTTCCTCTCGTAAAATTGCCAACTTGTAAAGTCATAAGATTTAACATTGAATATACAATTCTTTATATAGATGAAAAGTTGCCCGAAAATTTTATCATTCGAGAATTAGATTTTTTTCGTAAGTATTATTTTATTATATATAAGTATTATTTATTATATATATTTATTATTATTTATTATATATATATTTAATGTTTTTTAATTTTACAAAAAATTATTCTTTTCAGAAACTTATTTATTCAAGGAAGTATTGGAACTTATAGATTTTGATTTACAAGCCGCGCAAAATAAATCTGGTTGTGGGCAATTTCATTTTATGCCAAGATTTGTGCGAGATTTAGCCGATAATGGACAAGAAATATTATCTATGAATGAGGTTTTAAATTATTTAATAAAAAGTAGTAAATTATTAATAGATCCAGATGATCTGCCTAGATTGGTAGAAATGCCACAATATAAATGGCAAAATTTTGCTGATGAAGTAAAGGGTATGATTGTTACATTTCCTGGAAAAAAACCATGCAGTGTCCGTGTAGATCAATTAGATAGAAATCAAACTGATCAACCACCTGGTGTAATTGCCTATCCTGAAATTGTACATTTTGGAATTAGACCACCACAACTTAGTTATGCAGGAAATGCAGAGTAAATATTTTTTTAAATATTATTTATGAAATTATTTTTTTTAATAAAAAACAATTTTTTATTATTATTTAAATTATTTTTATTTATTTCAGTTATCAAAAAGCATGGAGAGATTATGTAAAATTTCGCCATTTATTAGCTAACATGCCAAAACCATCATTTGAAGATAAAAGAAAATTAGAAGCAAAAGAGAATAAACTCCAAGAATTAAGAACTCAAAGTAAAATGAAACGCGATGTTACCGTAGATGTTAGTTCTGAAGGATTTTATAGAACTGGAATAATGTGCGATATAGTACAACATGCAATGTTAATTCCTGTACTTGTTTGTCATTTAAGATTTCATAAATCTTTAGATAACTTAGAACGTACTTTAGGCTATGAATTTAAAAATAGATATCTTCTTCAATTAGCATTGACACATCCTAGTTATCGTGAAAATTTTGGTACAAATCCTGATCATGCAAGGAATTCTTTGACTAATTGTGGAATAAGACAACCTGAATATGGTGATCGTCGAATACATTACATGAATACTCGTAAACGTGGTATTAACACATTAATTAATATAATGTCAAGATTCGGTGCAAGAACCGAAACGGAGTCTTCGATAGCGCATAATGAAAGATTGGAGTTTTTAGGCGATGCAGTCGTTGAATTTCTTACATCAATTCATTTATTTCATATGTTTCCTGATTTAGAAGAAGGCGGTTTGGCTACTTATAGAGCAGCAATTGTTCAAAATCAACATCTTGCTGTATTAGCAAAAAAGTTAAATTTAGAAGAATATATGCTCTATGCACATGGAAGTGATCTTTGTCACGATTTAGAATTACGTCATGCAATGGCAAATTGTTTTGAAGCGTTAATGGGTTCATTATTTCTTGATGGAGGTATAGAAGTTGCAGATAGAGTATTTGGTGAAACATTGTTTAAAGATGAAGAAGATCTTGCAAAGGTTTGGGTAAATTATCCAAAACATCCTTTACAAGAACAGGAACCAACAGGTGACAGACAATGGATACCAAGTTTTGAATTATTGCAAGTAAGATATCTATATAAATATACATATATTTTATATTTTATGTATTAATAATATTTCTTATTATAGAAACTAACGAAATTTGAAGAATCTATTGGCATTGAATTTACCCATATTCGACTTTTGGCTAGAGCATTTACCGATCGTAGTATAGGATATACGAACTTAACGTTGGGTTCCAATCAACGTTTAGAATTTTTAGGAGATACCGTGCTACAACTTATAGTTTCCGAATATTTATACAAATACTTTCCGGAACATCATGAAGGACATTTATCTGTAAGTAGTATCATAATTTTTTTTGTCAACATGAAAAAATTCATTTTTATATTTTATAGTTATTACGGAGTTCTCTTGTAAATAATAAAACTCAAGCTGTTGTATGTGACGATTTGGGAATGACGCAATATGCACTTTATGGCAATCCAAAAGCCGAATTAAAAACAAAAGATAGAGCAGACTTATTGGAAGCATTTTTAGGAGCTCTTTATGTTGATAAAGGCTTGGAATATTGTCGTGTTTTTTGCGATGTATGTTTCTTTCCACGTTTACAGGACTTTATTATGAATCAAGATTGGAATGATCCAAAAAGTAAATTGCAACAATGTTGTTTGACATTAAGAACAATGGATGGTGGAGAGCCTGATATTCCTGTATATAAGTAAGTTCAGATCACATAAATTCATTATATATAAATATAGATATGTATAAGTTATATTATATAATATATAAATTGATTTAATTTTCTATTTAGAGTAATTGAATGTAAAGGACCAACAAATACAAGAGTTTATACAGTTGCTGTATATTTTCAAGGAAAACGATTAGCAAAAGCATCAGGTCATAGTATTCAAGAAGCAGAGATGAATTCAGCAAAAGAAGCTTTAGAAAAATCTCAAGGTAAGTCAAATATTTAAAAAATCAGAAATAATATAATTTTAATATTACTTTAATATTATTTTACAGATTTATTTCCACAATTAGATCATCAAAAACGTGTAATAGCAAAAAGTATGAAAATGCAACAATGGCCAAATAAAAATAAAACAAGAGGAAGGTCCATGAAACCTACAGATAGACACGATGATTCTGATTCTAGTCAACGATCTAAAAGAAGTCGTAGCGAACTATAAATTACGATTAAAATTAATTCATTAGAATTGATTGAAAGATTATTTTATATTTAATAATTGTTAGTGACTCTAGTATTTTAATGAGTATAAAAAAAATCTTTAATAATTATATTAAAGTATATAATAGTATTATACAAAAAATAATAAATATATTTATTATATTTAATAGAATTATTTTTCTCATATCTAAGATATAGCTCATATCTAAGATATAGCTTCTTCAGAATAATTAATAGGCTTTAATACAGCATTTTCCTGATATAATATATGTTCATTTTTATCTATGATTTTTTGACACATTTGCATATTATGCATAATTTCTTTTAAATTCCAATATTTTGATAATAATGCTTGTTGTATATTAAACAAACCATCTTGTATACATAATATTTGAGTACAAGTAGCATTAGAACGAAGTTGTATTCCTAATTCATGAATTATAGTTTTCAGATACAAATCATATTCATTTGTACAAACAATTTCTGCAAAAATTATAAAATAAGAATATAGGATATGATATTTTTATCAATTTTTTTCATTAATTTAAAAATTTATTTTATGAAATATATTTACCTAATGTAAATTCTGGAGGTGAAAAATCTATACATTTAATTGTATATATTATAGGAATATTACTATTTGCTGGTCTAATTGGACCTTGAACTGCTAATTCATATGCAGTTTGACTTTGAAGATCTACTCCACATAATCTATAAATATAAAAAAATTTAATGTTATATATAATTTAATATTATATCATATATAATTATTTAATTATGTAAGTATGTTAAATTTTCACATACTCAAACATTTTTTTTTGATGAGAAGATTGCATTGAACTACATAACTTATCAATGTGACCACGTTTTATATGTGTATACTTAGATTTTTCTATTATTTTTCCAGTATGAAAGTAATTATCTGTTGCTTGTCCAAATAATCCTTTTATCTTATAAAATCTTATGCACATATATTCTTTGATTTTTTGTATCAATTTATTACCCTTATTAATTCCACAAACTAAAACACCAGATACATCTTGATTCATTTTTTTTGTTGCTGCTAATTTAAAATCATTTGGTTGATAACGAGGACCTATTACTAATGGATTGTCTGCAAAACTTTTTCGAATAATAACTTTCATATCTTTATTTGTATCACCCTCTATAGCTACATATTTTCTTTGAGGTCGTACATACATGTCATTAAGATCTGAAAGCAACAAATTATATAAATTTTATCAATAAAGAGGTTTGTTCATATATATAAAAGATATATTACAACCTTTGCATAAATTATCAATCAATGTCTGTCTCGTTGTATTGAAATATATATGAGGAGATTTATAAATAACAAATATTCCATTTAATGCCTTATATACTAATCTTGCATCATTTACATATTTGTAAACCGACATATTAAATATTCTATCGAATATAATAATACACTGTAATAATATAAACTTCGTTTATAACAACAATTTTTGATTAATTTTTAATTTTTATAAAATACACTATAAGATATAAGGTTATATATTGATATAAATATAAATTGTATTTTTTATTTCTTTTAGTTATTTTTGTGATATTTTATATTTAAAATATTTAAACATATTTTCTATATAATTCACAAATGATCAATCTTTTGATAAAAATCATTTGATCTATATAATTTCTCGATTTATTAATTTTTATAAAATACACTATAGATATGAGATATAAGGTTACATTGATATAAATATGAATTATATTTTTTATTTCTTTTATTTAGTTCGTGAAATTTTATATTTAAAATTTAAACATATTTTCTATATAATCAATTTTTTGATAAAAATCATTTGATTTGTATAATTTTTGTCTTTTTTAATCTTTACAGAGCTGTCCTCTAACGGCAAAAATAAGAAAAAGTCAGCCATATTTGTACAAGAAGGACATCTATTATAGTTTTATAAATGGCTGAAAGTTTAAAGAATTTTGGAAGTGTAGTGTTTAACAACCGGCATATAATTTTTAAAGGTATGTAAAAACTAAATAACAATATTTGTATCTATTGTGATATAATATTAAAAAAATAATTAATTTCTTATTTTCAAAGATAATTTTCATATAATTTGCATTGATAGAACGTAGACATTAAATTAACTGATAGGTTATTGCATTTATTTTTTCAGCGATATTCTCAAATACTAAACAATTTGTCACGATGTCTGAATCATTAAATAAAGTACCCGATGTGGATATTGATGGCCATGGAAGATTTAAATATATCTTAATCAACGTTTTTGACGAAGCTAATAACGTTAGCAAATCTATTGTCAGAGGTTATGCTAGAGCTCAATGGCATAGTGAGTAATCATGTCAAACTTTTTATTTAATTTTTATATATTTTTACATTAAAACAATTATTTTGGTTTAAAATATTACATAAAATAATCTTATGATATATTTTTTTTTATAAGAAAATAATTAAATGCATGCTTATCTTAAACAAAAATTTTATTTAATAGTATTTAAAATTATTTAGTAGGTTTATAAGATTTTGAGGTTTATAGGCTAGATTTTCACATATATTCTTGTACAATTATATTTATATAATTTATTATTTACATTAATAATGATGTAGTCTGTACAGCTTTACATATATATGTATATATAAATATACATATCTGTACATTTACATTAAAATTCATAAATTAGGCATTAATTACTTACATGCCTTTAAATTAAATTATATTATCAAGGTACAATGACTCTTGTAGTATTTATTTAATTATATAGAACATTTATTTCACAATGAATAAGAAGCTTTACAATACGAAACATTTTTTGCCTAAAAAAATAGATTTGAGATATTTTTTATAGATTGACTTTTTGTGATTGGTATCACACGCGTAGATGAATCAATTTTACAATGTGTCATTCAATAATTATATTGTTTAATAATTATCAGTTTGCATATAATGCATATAATGAAAGGGCAGTACGATTTCATTTATAAGAATAGCTCAGATAGGAACTGCACAAATAGTAATTTATTCTCAATGATGAAAATCGTCTCTAAATTGATTTTTATATATATAATATTTCAAATTTGATAATCCAAAATTATTAAATTATACTCATGTTTTATCGTTATATCACAAATAATAAATTGTAGAATTGTAGAATAAAGAATGAAATAACTTTTTTATTTTTTTTCTATAATAAAAGCAAAAAAAAAATTATATTTCAAATTTTGGATTTCAAATTTAAACTTCAATATATACTTTTGACATCTGAAGTACACAATTCTTAAAAATTTCAATCAATTATATATGGAGAGGCGATTTTCTTTTCAATAGAAAAGAAACATTATGGTCAAAGTCATGTTTCTTTTCTTTTTACGTTACTAAGAGGCTCTTCTGAAACAACACCAAGCTCTTTGTATACTGAAACCCAATTTACAGTTCTTGTGATTGGAATTCTTCACGGTTCTTGCACCATTATTATTCTTCACCGATGATCGCGATGATACATCGGTCGTTTGCACCTGCTCTCAGGTGCTGTCGCTTTCCTCGTAGTGTTCTATCAGATCCACGTCAATATCTTTCGTCTCTTTCAATTTCTCTTTAATCGGTTCCAATTTGCTTCCTTTGTATTTGTGCCCATTGTTATCCTCCTGTCTCTCAATATTTTCCATCTTTTCCTCGTTCATTTTCGCTACAATTTTTGCCTCTCTGGTAGGAGATGGAAAGCCTACTAAATCCGGATCAGTATTGCTATGCATTAACGTGAATGGTAGTTTAAGCGATACATCCCCACCCATTGTTGAGATTAATAGCTTGACCTGTGAGGATAAAAGGATAAATAGAAGCAAATATAATTAATTTGAGTCGAGAATTAATTAGCATTATTAATTTTACATTTATTACAATTATTAATTATTTAAACATTTTTTCAATGTACTTTCTTTAATAATCTATTTTGAATATATAAAAGAAAATTTTACGAATATTTTATATATTTAATAAGCATTCTTCATGTTTTAATTAATTAGATTCAAACTTTGAAATTTACACGAATTTTTCCCGAATATAATAAAATAGTAAAATCTTTTTCTACAATCCTTTTTCCTAATTTGGAAAAATCC